ATTTCTACACTCCGATCAAGACAATCTAGGCTTTTCCTATCATGTGCCTCAAAACTCTTCCAATGTCTACCCCAAATTCAATTTCAAAGCTACTTCAACATTTTTAGGTACTTGTTACAACATGCTATGAACTGAACAAATTCGTATGTGAAGTCCTAATCTCCAATGTGACTGTATTTGGAAACAGGGCCTTTAAAGAGGTAATTAATTGTAAACAAGGTCAGAAGGGTGGGGACCTAATCCAATAGGACCTGTGGCTTAATAAGGAAAACAAGAGACATCAGGAGGGTATGTGCTCAAAGGGAAGGTCATGTAGAGGACAAAGCAAGAGCAGCCGCCTGCACATTAGAAAGACAGCTCCCATTAGAAACTAGCCTATACTGCACCTTGATCTTAGACAGCTAGACTCCAGAATTGTGAGAAATAAATGTCTGTTGTTCAATATACCATTCCATGGCATTCTGTCATGGTAGCTGAAGTCAACAAAGACACGGTAATATCCCATCCCACACCCAGGTATCAATCTACATTAGTTTCCTGCAGCTGATGTAACTAATGACCACAAACTCGGTGGTTTAAAACTTAAGAAATGTATCTTCCCACTGTTCTGGGAGTCCGAAGTTCAAAATCAGTTTCCTGGGCCAAAATCAAGGTGTTGGCTGGGGTGTATTCTTTCTGAAGGCTCTAAGGAAGAATCTTTTTATTGCCTCTTTCAGTTTTAGGTGACTTCTAGCATTCCTTGACCTGTGAGACGCCATACTCCAATCTCCAGCTCCATGGTCACATTGCCGTCTCCTTCTGTTGTCAAATCTGCCTCTTTCTCTTTCTTGCAAACATATTTGTGGTTATAACTAGGTTCCATTCAGATAGTTCAGATAATTCCTTAACATCCTTAATTTCATCATCTGCAATTTTTACCACATACGGTGATGTTCACTGGTTCCAGCGATTAGGACATGGCCATATTTTGGGGGGCATCCTATCTATGACAATTAACAGCTCTTCTCTTTAAACTACCTATAGGAGAACAAATTCTGTCTCTAAACACTCACTGTCTTCCTATAGTACCTCCAACTATGAGGGTGAACTAGTCTTACCTCAAACCATCCTCTAGCCCCTCAACTATTCAATAGCCTCCCAGAATTTGATGTTATCCTTTGGTCGCCTGCAAACTATTCTGTGCTGGACCCCAACCTCATTCCAAGCCACTCTGAGCCACCACTCACCCCCATTCCTAAACATCCCTAAATTTATCATCCAATTTCCCTCTCTCCTTTTGCCCTTCACCCCACCCCACAGTTGTCTCATTAGCTGTGTTTGAGAGACAGTGACAGAAAGGCAGAGGAACAGAGCCAGATAGGACAGTGTTGGAAAAGTTGTGAAGCTGTGAGCAAGAAATTAACAGACAGAGAATTGGGGTGATGTCAGATATGTGATGGAGAAGCACCTGTCATGGAGATATTTGTGCTGTGTGTATGAAACTGGTGGCTTTAAGACGAGGATGGTGTAGCAGAGCATCTGTGGGTCAAATGCTGTAGATTTTTCTCCCAGTCTTCCACGAGTGTTTTTAAGTATTGGTTGCAGCATCTTTCATCAGATTGTAGCTTTATATTTTGATGTAGTCAAACCAGAGAGATGGTGGGTCATAGTAGTAAGAGTGCTTGGGTTCCTAGCCCAGGTTTTTTGTCTGTTTGTTTCTTTAAACGAGTTTCAGGGTTTTTCTTTTTTTTTTTTTT